CACCCATCTCCCCTCCCAGCCACTCCTTCCATTTTTGTATTGTCTGCAACCTTGCTGAGGATGCACTCTGTCGCGTCATGCGTGTAATTAATGAAGTTGTTAAACAATACTGGCCCTAGTCTCGGTCTCGGTGTTGGTGCTAGTGACTGGCCTCTAGCTGGACTTTGTGCCACTGATCACCGGTTCAGTTTTCTCTCCATGTCACTGTCCATTTGTAATGTCCATAGTTAAGCCTGTCCGCTTTTAGGCTGTACTTACACATTCCCAGGGATCAAGATTAGGGTGAGTGGTAAGTAGTGACCCAGATCATCCTTGCCCTTCTTGAAGGTAGGAATGACATTTGCTTCCTTCCAGTCCTCAGGAACCAACCCTTATCGCCATAACCTTTTGAAGATTTGTTTTTTTTTTTTTTTTTTTTTGGAGAGTGGGCTTACCATCATATTGGCCAGCTCTGATCTCAGGGGCCTGAGATTTTTGAAAGCTGATCTTACCACTAAAGACTAAGATGAAGAAGACTGTTAGTTCCCATCCTTTCCCATGTCCTTTTTCATTCAGCAGTGGGACCATGTTGTCTTGTTGCTGCTGGAGAAGCCTTTCTTGTTGCTCTTTATGTCCCTTGCCAGATTCAACTCCAGATGGCTTTGACTTTCCTAATTCTGTTCCTGTGTGCTCAGACAACATCTCTGTTTTCCTTCTGGGTCACCTTTCTCTTCTTCCGCCTCATGTATGCTTCCATTTTGTTTGAGTTTTGGCAGGAGCTCTTTTTTCATCCATGCAGGCCTCCTGCCACTCCTGCTTGGCTCATTGACATAGACCATTCTTGGGCTTGGAGGAGGCAATCCTTAAAATCAACCAGCTGTTGTAGACCCCTCTTCTTTCCAGGGCCATATCCTATGAATTTTGTCCAAGCAGATCCCTGAACAGATCACAGTTTTCTCTTCTGAAGTCCCAGATAGTTATCCTGCTGTTTGTCTTGTTCCCATCTCTCAGGACCCTCAGCTCCACCATCTCATGGTCATTGCAGCCAAGGCTGCCCTCAGCCTTCTCACCCCTAACCAGTCCTTCTTTGTTTGTAATGTATGAGATCTGCAAACATGAGGTTTCTTCAAGTTGTCTGAAGAGGGCCTCACCTACTACTTCTTGACTAGGCGGTCTGTGGCAGACATGCATCCAGGACCAGTAGAGCCAGTTCATAACCATGCTGCTGGTGTAAATGTAGATCTGACAGTGACATACATATTACTTTTTTCTTCCAGATTGAGGAGTGTGCTATTCAAGATTTATTAATCCACTATGAAGCTTTTGACAACCCTGATGAATTTGTGACTGTTGAAAGGGCTCCGCAGGGACCTATTGCAGCACCCATGTGGAACAAGCACTAATTCATACTCTTCACAGTCCGTGTTGTGTGTGCACTTCTGAAGTTCTAATTCATTTTACAAGCAAAACGGGACTGGAAGAACAGGAATCATGTAATTTTTAACATCAGCATTCAAACACTGCACATAATCACTAAGTATTTCTTAGAGAGAATGGAAATACTGTGTTCACTGTGTCCTTTACCCACAGTATATATTGTATGGATGTTTTGAGGGAATTTCTTTAACAAGACCTATTATTAGTAATGTGACATGAAACTGTAGCTTGGAAATGCATTTGCTAATCTTAAATTGTGAGGGTTTTTTTGTTAAATTCACAGGTGGCTGAAAAACGAGTGCTTATTTTGTGATTTAATGTGGAATTGAATGTGCAGAATTATACATCTTTGAAGTTTGGGGTGGAGGTGTGTTCTACAGAGCTTTCTGGCAAATTGGGAATATTTGGAAAAAGTTTGTGCTTGAACTTTATGTCAAAGTACAGTTTGATAATGCAGTTTTCCTTAAGATATATGTGTAAGTACTAGTTCCCTGATTGCTGCGGCCAGTACTTTTTCTGTCATGCTCCACAATGAACATCTGTGCTGTACCGAAGTGCCCTGCCGTTGCCTGCTCGCGGTTCAGGTGTGCATGTTTTTTCACTGTTGTGAGACTGGCCTTTGAGCAGTCAGCTCTGTTGTGAAGTAAAGCACACAGTTGAATAGAACATGGTGGCACTTAATTGTCTCATCTATAGTCTTATTCTGGTAAATATGGTACACTTTCAGAACCACTGTGTTTAAGGTACAATTCCCTTGAATTGCTGAAGAAATCAAAGATAGGTGTATTCATTGTTAAAGCTGTAGGGACGAATGCTTGACTGTGGAATTTGCAAACACCTAACCTTCAAAGATTATCATAGGCGCCTTTCGGTATTGTGTGTTCCAAAGTTCTCTGTGCCTGGTTTAAAGAAATTATATATATAAAAAAAAAAAAAAGGAAAAAAAAGTAGCCTTATCTGCATTGTTCTGTTGAGTTTGTCTGTTTGTGTAGCTTTGTTTGAACTTGTACTTTTTTGGTAGTGTCAGTACCCACAAACTCTGGAAAACTGGAATTGAGAGAGCTACAGGAAATGAGTGTATGGAATTGATCACTGTGTGATAAAAGAGTTGAATCTTGGAAAAAAACTATGTAGATATGTCTAATGGTTTCAAGCCAAGTTACACCAAAAATCCCCCCCCAATTGTAAACAAATGCAATAAACCATAAAATCTTGATTTACACGAAGTAAGTATACTTCTATGTGCTGTCTATATGTAATCAATGCTTTAGGTAACTACAGAGTAATCTAAAATTGTTTCTTTTGTGTATGAAATGAGCTGTGGGCATTTTAAAGCTACACAGGTAAAGGAAGACATAGCTTTTAATTCTATTTTAAATTCTGCTGGTGATTCACTCACAGGACTGATCAGATTACTTGCATTGAGTGCGTTAGTTGATGCACTGCAAGGTCTTAGGACCTGCTGAAACTGTCCTTCTGAACTAAAAGAAAGCTTATGTGCTGTGAGGAATATCTGTAAAAGCAGTGAGACTTTCCAGGTGTGAACCTGTTTGTTCTCAGATACAAAAATGTAGTAAATCTGTGCATTTGCTTTTTTTTTTCCAAAACTGATTAGCATGTACTTTTAAAAATGTCATTCTCCTGTCATTATAAGAGGATTCATGCTTCCGCAGTGCCGAGGAGCCTGACTGCTTTTAAGTTCTGGGTTTATTGCTGCAGTTTGCTTTTGGATTGTCACTGGTTATACTTAATATTCACAAAGAATGATCAGTGTACCATTCTTCTGAAATTGAGAACGTTTTTTAAACTGTTGTGTTAGAACAGCTTGAGGCTAAAATGTGTCACAGAAAGCTGTGTAAACTTACATATTCCATTTTTATTCAACTTCCTTAAAACTTGGAAATCAAGAGTTCAAAATGTGTGAAGCATACTTGAGTTATAGTGTCAACAGAAACAAAAATTTCTAAAACCCTAGATAAACTCTGGGGTTAGCTTATGGTACACGTGAAAACCCAAACAAAAATCCACAACACGTCAACTTGTTGTGGAAGTGGCAGAACTTTCAATTTTCTTAAGTCACATACTTTGTAAAGACATGACAATTGCATCATCGTTAAGATTAACATCAACCTCTGGAGATTGCCCCGTCCAGCCCTCTCTGGTGTTTGACCATCTGCACAGTAAAAAGGCATTTTTATATTTAAACAGATTTTCCTGTATTTCACTTTGTGCCCTTGACTCTTGTCCTGTCACTGGGCATCACTGAGTTTTCATCTAGTGAAATGAGTTGAGACTTGCGACTCGCTTCAGTCAATGATAGGTGGTGTCCGATGGTTTTAATGTTCTTTAGAAATGTGTATATGGACATTACACTGGCTTTTCCTCTTACTGGATTTTCATATGACCTCCTTCAAAATGATGTAACTTTTTTTAAAAAATCCTACTTTAAGTCCATCAGAATTCCTAATAATAAGTGTATGTATTAATAACCGTATAGGTAGCTAGAAGTGTAACCACTAATCTAGCTAGAGATCTTACGTATGTCAGCTGAGTGAATATTCATAGTTTGATTTCTTCTGGTTATTTTTCCTAGAAAAAATAAAAATCCCACAGGGAGGTTTTTTTAGATATTGTAATTTGCCAAAATTGTTTTTACACAAAGCGGTGCTGTGCTAAAATCATAGTTTAAGTTGTTATTGTCAGGTATCCATACCCAAACTTTGTGTATGGAAAAACTTCACAGTTTTATGTGCAACTCCTCTTTTGCATCCAGTCTGCATGAGGAAAATATTCAGGGTTTAGGAAACAGCATCCAGAAATTCAACCACCTAGTGCATATGTTAACTTCACATCGACACAAAAAATCTGGCATTTTCTAGCTCGGAATCCCAAGTTTGTGGCCTTTTGTGTAATGCTAAACATGAATTCCATCCTTACTCAATTCGCTCCAACAATGTCTTGTCATTTCTGGGCTTGTTACCTCCTTTAAGTTGCACCGACACAGGGTGGGATTCCCAGGTCCTGGTAGATACAAAGCAACACATCACAGTTTGCAGTCATCATATTTATCACTTGAATAAAATGAGAAAAGAAACAAAGCAAACTTTTGCAAGGGCTTCAGATAAGGATCATCAGGAACTCATACTAATGTATAATACTAATACATGTTGAAACTCTGTAAGTCAGCACTGAAGAATTTACCCAAGGATATCAAGGTGTTACTTAAACCCCATTGTGTTTCCTGTAATCCAAGTGACTGAAACGCTGACAGTTTTCTCTTTTGATGCAATGTGGATGGATTTCAGCTGGAGCCCCTCAGGGTAGCTGCGAGATGACTAAGCTCCTCTTATAGTCAATAAAGCCCCAGGCAATCGAGTCACAGGAGTGTGAAGATCCTGGCGTGGGCTCCTGCGGACTGGTGAGTGGAATTCTGCCTGGGTTCTGCTGCCTGCCTTGGCTGGCTCTCCACCAGCTCTGTTGAGAGCTGAGACACTTGGCACACGAAGGTGCCTGAAACGGTGTGTCTCAACCTTGCCAAAGAGGCAGAAGAACTCGTTGGTTGCTGTTTTTATGGGAACACTGCCAGTTTGTCAAATGCATAAGCTTTGTGCAAGTGCGCTGCCTTTAGGTGGCTCTTTCAGGAGGATGTGTTTGACTGGAAAAACCCAGTTAAAACCCGGCCCCTCTGTGACCTCACGGAGCGGGAATTTGCACAGGGAGAGCAGCGTTCTTACTCAGCTGCAGTGAAGGGTTTTGAGGGGAAATGTGATCCAGGAAGATCGCATAGTCTGAGCTAAGTGACGGTTCTGAACAGATAATCACACTCCTCCTTGGTCTCCATTTGAATGAGTTCTTTGCATTTTAAAGCAATTCTACAGAACGTTATAGTTTTGATATTAGGGATCAATTCTTCCAAATCTTGTGTGAGCGTTTCAGATAGCAAAGGGAATAAAACTGTTAAAACCCTGGCTATGGGCTTTTTTTTTTTTCTTATTTTATTTGCATTTACATGCATGAAAAACCAACAAGCAAGCAAGCAAACAAATGAAAAGCACGTTTATGCAAGAGCACACTGAAGCAGGCCCACTGCATTTGCTCTCAAGTAATAATGTACAGCTGGGGAAAGCCAAGAATCATCTCTCTCTCCTCTCCTAATAAAAAAAATCATAATTTTCAGAAAACATCCTCAACTAAGAAAGTAAGCAGGGAAAATTGACCCAAAAGCTTTTTCAATTGTTCACAATACTGTAAGGTTTCTTGCTTCCCCCCCCCCCTTTCCTATCTCTTAAAACTTTATTACAGGAAGATATGGAGGATGCAACACCTGAGGCTGGATTCTCAACTAATTTCTCGTGGTGGTAAACCACTTATAGATCTCTGTCTCCTCAGACTGAAGTGCCATTAAAGTCAAGTCTTCTTTCTTTAGTCGTTTCACTGTCCTGTAGTTCTGCAGGAACATGTCACGCCTGCTTGTCACCCGATGAACCCTGACTACAAGGAAATAGCTGCCTGTCTCATAGGTTATGCGGCTGGAGGTGGGAGGATGCCAGGTGCCCTTTGCTTTGTCTGTATCTGTACGTGAGCCTGGCTGTAATCCCTGTACGGCAGGTGAGGAGGTCATGGGAACTGCAGGGGAAATACAGGCTACCTGCTCCCGTGCCGCGCATCGTGACTCGTCAGCTGTGACTGCCTTGCAGCGTGACTGGGCTTCTAGGGCTGTTTTTTTGTCTAATGTTCTAGGTTTGTTCTGAAGGGGACCCTACTGCTTCTGCTAAATGTCATTGATGGCAGCACAGCACCTCACGGTGACAACTGTGCTTGTGTCATCTGGTGACACCACACCCAGAACAACAGGTGATACATTTGCCAAAAAAAGAAAAGTAAGAAGGTATTAAGCATAACTTATGTATATGTACAGATATTTTTGTTTATCCTGCCTTCTGTATGCTGCCATTATTGAAACAGAAGGGAAAAATATGCAGAATCTTAGTTCTTTTCCCACTGCGTGTTTTTTGAGATGTTTACAAGACACGCTGCCCATGCTCGTGCACGCTGTGAAGATGGAGTGGAGCTGTAAGGCTATGAATGCAGCGGGGTTTTTTTGTATTGCACAAATAGCATCAGGGCTGAA